GGGCTGAGCCGACATAGAGGAAGCTGGCGAGGGCGGAGGCGGCGGCGGAGGCGGTGGCGGAGGAGGAGGAGGTCGCGGCTGCAGGCGCCGCTGGAGCTGCTGCCTCAGGGGCTGCGGCGTGCGCCGCTGGAGGAGGTGGGGCGGAGGCCGGAGACCAAGCTGAAGCCGGGGCTGCAGTCCGAGCGCGAGCCGGGGTTGGAGCCGCCCGCGCCGCGGCCGCTGTCCCGGCGGGAGCCCTTGCCGGGCTCTGGAGTGCGGGGAGCGCGGAGAGCCAAGCAGGGCGCGAGGCGAGGCTGCCGGCGGCGATCAGGGCGCGCGGGTGTCTGGGGGCCAGGTCCAGGGCCGGACGCAGCCAGCCATTCAGGAAGGCAGCGCTGGAGAGCGGGAGGCAGCCGGCGAGGAGGATCACACACTTTGCTCTTTTTGTTGTGCCGGTGGCGCCGGGTTCTTGCTGCCTTCTTCTTTCAGGAGGTGACGGAAGGGGGAGAAAAATACGGGATAATTCACTCCGGCGACGAATTCACAGCGAAATAGAAAAAATAAAAATCAGAGGAAAAAGAATTGCAAAAAAAAAAAAAAAAAAAAGGCGAGAGAGACATCCAAAGTAGGTCGAATAAATAATCCTCTTCCTCTTCCTTGCTCCTTCTTCTGCTTCTTCTGCTATAACACACAGAGCTAGTTAAAAAAACCCTGGAGATCGCCCAAAAATGTTCTTTTTTTAGTATTTTAAATAAGTGCTCTTCAGCCGGGAACCAACACCCTCCCTCCAAAAAATCATATATGTATAAAATAACGATAAGAAGAATACGAAGGGGGTGTCTCCTCCTTTTTTTTTTTTTTTTTTTAAGTTTAGACGTCTCTCTTGTGCAAGAATAGAGTAAAAGAGGCAGAAGGAGGGGGAAAGGAGAGAAAGAAGGAGAAGACGATTAAGGGGAAACAACTAATAGAATATTTAAGAAAGGAGAAAGGGAAGAGGGGTGAGAGGGGGAGAAAAGAGGGCGAGAGAGAGGAGAGAGGGGAGAGAGAGGAAGAGAGAAGGAGAGAGACAGAGACAGAGAGGGAGAGAGAGAGAGAGAGAGGGGGAGAGAGAGAGAGAGAGAGAGAGAGAGAGAGAGAGAGAGAGAGGAGAGAGACCCAAAAATTGAATGCGTTTAAACGGGAGGACTCGCAGAGCAATGTTTCCGAAAGGGGGATCTGCGCGAATGTCTGTATATAGTGAACTTTGACACTACTATTGAAACTGACACGTTTCTATGGAGATCGCTGCCTTATATGGAGCTCGTGTCAAGGAGCCAAGAGAAGGGCTGCTGGCAACTGATAATCAAAGGCGACTGACTGGTCAGAGCCCTGAATCTGGGGGGAGGGGGGGAGAGAAAATGGGAGGCTAAGGTTAGCCAAGCCTCCCGCACGCCATTGGTTGGTGAGCCCCTCCCCCCACCTCTTTTTCTTTCTTTCTTTCTCCCCCCCTCCCTCTTAAGCTACCTACTGACTGGGATGCCGAGGGGAGGAGGAGAGAAAGTGAGCGAGGGGGGTGTACTCCTGACAAGCGCAATTTACATTGAGATCGCCCTGCGCTGCTATTTACTCTGAGACCTGATTAGTATGGGTCGTCTATGGTCACACACACACACACACACACACACACACACACACACCCTAGAGGGGGAAGGGATGTCGAGGGGGAGAATGCATTGCAATGGGCGAAAAGAGAATTAGAAGGAAATTATTTTTACTTCTAAAAAGTTTTTAAAATTAGATTGTGTGAGTGTGAAAAGAGTGTCACTGAAAATGTTAGAAAAAAATTTTAATGGGAATGAAACCCCACCATTTTATTGATTTGTGAAATATATTGGGTTTGGATTGTTTTCCCAAGTCTGTCTTCTGCTCATTTTATTTCCTTCTTAGAAACAAGGTAAGGCTTCCCTAATTTTTGGCCTAAAGTACATCTTGGTTTTCCAGGTTTAGTTATGACCAAGCACACTCCAGAAATTTGCAGCTATTACGACGAATTCGATCCGAACCAACGGTTTTTCTATTCATCCAAAGATGATTTTTTTTTTCAAATTAAACTTTTCAATCATAAAACTCCCCTTCCTTTTTTTGTATTCTCAGGCTGTTCCAAACTCCGAACAATGCTTC